TCAGTTTTTAAATGTAAAAATTCAAACATCGCGTTTCAAATTATTTTATGAAAATTATATAATTTTTTTTACGTCAAATAATTGAAACACTCCAAGGGCATAAATGACTCTTGTTCTTTATTATCATGCACCAAAAGTAATTTAGTTTTTACATGCTAACAAATTTCACTTTCACAAATAACTCACCGGAAATGAAGTTGTCCTGTTGTAGAAGAAATTTAATATCTTTCATTTTCACAGAATTCACGTGATCTCCTTCATCACTGGTTCCTTTTCCGCTGTCGGTAAGTGACGTGTCTTCTTCATGACCTGGTACTTGACCTTTCTTCATGGAGGTCACCCAGGGGTCATAAGCAACTTCCGTGTAACTCTGCTGTTTTTGAATATTATATTCATGAGCGTGTGTATGTGTGTGTGTGGATGTGTGTGTGAGTGAGTGAGTGAGTGAGTGAGTGAGTGAGTGAGTGAGTGAGTGAGTGAGTGAGTGAGTGAGTGAGTGAGTGAGTGAGTGAGTGAGTGAGTGAGCTGTGATGTGAAGGCAAAGCTTTTTTTATACCCGAGAGTGCATCAAATTTCAATTTAGTAGCATAGTTTAATTTTACTCTATCCACTAGAATTCATCAAAATAGTTTTAAGATAATACTTAACATGCCTTTTATTTATATTTCTAAAAATAGAAATACATTAAAATATTTTTCAAAACATTTTGAAGTTTTGAAATTGAGAATTTCTTAAAAAGTTTGGTGATCGGCGTTTGGGTGATCGCTAATAAACCCGCACCATCAAATCTGAATACCTTTATTCTTACTTCTTATTAATAACGTCTGGCGCTTATTGCTAGAATTTAAAAAAATTAAAAGTTTTATTAATGATTTTATTTTTTGCAGCAACAAAGAAGTTGAAATTAAAAAACAATTAATTGGAAATTAATAAAAGTAGAAATGAATTTGAAAACCACACCTGCAACTTTCCACTACATCGCAATTTCAAAAAAGGTAGTAGCATAACAATAAATAAATTAGGTTGAAATAGAAGATTGCATTGCAGTTACAATTAGTTGCTTTTGTTGCTGCAAAGGGGATATCAAAAATTTTGTTTACACTCAGCTATTTTTTTTGGCATTTTTGAGATAGCTTGATATAAAAAGCATTTTCTTTTGAATTTATAAATCTAAAAAAATTTCAAACCCTAGGTTTATTAAATCATTAATATTCAATAAAGAAAAATGTTGTTTACATTATTTTTCAACTTCTGCTTTTTTTAAGAGTTAAGCGGCAATAAATTTTTGCAGTCTTAAAGAAAAGTTTAATTATAGATGACCATAAATCGCCAAATAGAAAAACAGGCTCACTGGAAAAATGTGCATGCGTAGATCAAATGTTGAGTGCAGAGCAGACAAAATACGTACTGTAGTATAGAGTAGGTGGAGAATTTGTATGGAATACGTGGAGATAAAGCCACATAACCAGATATTATAAGGTTGAATATACAATCTTGAGTTTTATAGCTTTTTTATTTTCCGTTAACAATTAAGAAGGCGACTAAAAGGTTAAGCATACAAAGATTTTCAGTTGTTTTATACACACACACACTAGGGAAGTTATTTGAATGTGGACCTAGCTCACACACAAACACATACACTTATACAGATACAGACATACACTCACAGACAGACGTACACCCAGACGTAAAAACACAGACATAAACACACCGATGTATACGCTGACAGAACAAAAACATATATAAAATCATTAAAACTATTCACTATTGTTGTATAGTTTAATAACGTCTTAACTGTTAATAGTCTTAATATTTAAAAATTTTTCAAAATAAAAAGTTTAATGATAAAATTTGAAACGGCAAAACAAATCATTTATCATCATGTTTTCTTCCAGACCTAACAATGACTCGCCTTCAGGAAACTGTAACAGGCTGCGGTAAGTCAGGGATGTGAAATGTTATATTTCTTTGCCAAAGAACACGTACGTACGAACAAACACGTAAATAATATTTAGGTAGGTGTAAGAAATCCGATTCGGCAGAGGTGATTCCATTGAAAACATCCGAACAAACATCACTGACTGACAACCACATGTTCAGGTTGATGAACGACAGAGATGTTGACCGCCGAGGAAAAAAACGTAATGCGAAGGAGAAGAAGAAATGGAGTAAGTGGATTATAAGATCTGTTTGTATGCATTGAGTCTTGCGGTTAATTACTCCAGAATTACATTACTTAGGGATTGTTTTAATAAATTATTGAATACAATCGAATATGCTCGCGATTTTGATTTTGAATAATCATATAACAGATAAAAATCTGATCATAAATCATATTTAATGCTTGCAACGCTGTCCTTCTACTAGCAAAAGCAATTTTGTTATAATGACGTCTGTGTGTGTGTGTGTGTGTGTGTGTGTGTGTGTGTGTGTGTGTGTGTGGATGTGTGTGGATGTGTGTGGTGCATCGTGCATAACATAAATGATACTTATAACCCCATGTAGTAATAACGTGTAAAATAATTATAAGATGCTACCAGACAGAGAAAGTGAGTCAAAACATTTTATGAAGTAGCTAGAAACGCTGTAGACGAACGACCATAGATAAGCTGCAACTTTCATATAAACCGATCAGCAATATTGGTGTGAAGAACAAGAGACGTTTGAGCGAACAATAAAAAAACATTTATAAACATCAGAAAAACATGTGCAAACAATGAACAATCGGGCGCAAACGAGCCGATGAACAAGCATAGGCAAATAAACACTACATAAAATAACAAAGGGTAAAATAGTTTGCTAACATTGTTATGTTCTCAGAAAAAAATACAATTAATAAAAAAAATACGAACATCATGTTCTCTCTCTCTCTCTCTCTTTCTCTATCCTGTCTCTCTCTCTCTCTCTCAAGAAAAAAAAACAATAAGGAGGAAAACAAAGTGAGGTCCAAAATCAACAGCGCAAGGTTGGCAATAAATCGTCCGTGGCTAACAAAAGTATTGTGATTTAGTCTTGCTTTGGAATACAAATGTCTCGGGAAGGAAGGGTGCCGAAACAAATGCCCTGCAAGATAAGCTTATGCATATTCATTTGGAGAACTGCAGAATGCATTTCCACGCTACAATTGCAAATTATTTAATACAATTATTGGTTAAATTTATTTACAAAACTCAATAAATACATATTGTATGCATATTACGCTAGGTATAAAATAATTGAAACATGAAAATTTATTTACAAAACTCAATAAATACATATTGTATGCATATTACGCTAGGTATAAAATAATTGAAACATGACATAATGATATTTTACAAAAGAAATTTATAATGTAATTAATTAATTAATGTAAGTATAATGTTTGCAATTGCGATCATATTTTAGACCGGACACTAAAAATTTCAAATCAAATTTGGCAAAAGTAATTTGTTAAGAGACTTTGCAGTTGTTTTCACAGAATCCGTTAGTGTTCTGACAATTTATTTATTTTGCACGCGTCTATTCTTTTTTATTCTTTTTCTCTCGCCTGTCTCTGTCAGTTTATCTCTCTTTCTCTCTCTCTCTCTATCCTTCTGTCTGTCTGTCTGTCTGCATGTCTATCTACCTGTCTCTCTCTCTATTTATTTATTTGTTTATATATATATATATATGTATATATATATATATATATGTATATATATATATATTCATTTGGTTTGTCCTTATAAAATAGAACCTAACTATGAATCAAACTGTCAATAAGTTGAATACTCGCATCTTCAACCACCCCGTTGACATTAATAACTTGCCATAAAATTTTTTCAAATTCTTTTGTACGATTTAAAGTTTCCAATTTTTAAAGGATCTTGGATGGTTTCATTAGATATAGAAATAATTTTAACTTGTACATTGATCTATTGGTTTATTATAAAACGAAATTTATTTCAGGCATAGAAGATAATTAATTTGTAAATATTAAAAATTATTCTCTTATCTATAGTTAATTTTTCTTGATTTAGCGTCTTTTTACGTATTGATATTTACACATTTTTTACAGATTTACATCTTACGTGTGTGTGGTGTGTTTGTGCGTGTGTGCGTTGGATAATGTAAATAAGTCAAAAAATATTTCAAAATTAATTCAGATTTTAAACATTCGAAAAATAAAATTAATTTGTTCTGTATTTAAATTTTATTGCGTTGGAGATGCATTGCTGTCCGCAAACGGACGAGGAACGCATCTGCGCGCATCTTTTAAAGGTTAACAAGGCAACTCGGGCTAGGCAGATTAAAGGAATTAAAACCATCTTCTTCAACAGTTGAATGTACGCAAGTTGAACGTTTCCAGCTATATTTAAATTTTGTTTTGGTTAACAAAATAAATGAGAACAGATATTTAGATAATGTGATTAAAAATACTAAAAATATATAAATGCTAATTTTTGAATTTGAACCCTCGTCAAGGTCATGTGCTACGAGAAATAACTCTGACCTCTGTTGTCGGTTTTAAAACCCTTTACTATTTTCGGTCAATATCATTGAATTCAACGATGACACCCGGCAAACTGTATAAATTTTATTATTATATTATGTTACTAAACATGAACTCATTATATACTCACATATGTATAGAATTTGTTTTGTTTAAATATATTTATATTATCTTTGTTTCAATTTAAAAAGACTTAAATGATGGATGCGTATGGAACACGAGATAAATAATTTAGTGCGTTGTTAAGGCGCGAGAGAGACAGTGTGTTTTTATTTTCATACCGGAGAATGAATTTAATGTACATCTACTTCACTCAATCAATCAATGATCCTCTTTAATCCTTTGACGGATCGTTGAGTTGAGGCCGATGACGATCACATTTTCGTTAATTTCTAAAATCTTTCTCTACTTTTTACCAATTTCATTGAAGTCAATATTTCCATTTTAATCCACTCTGGATGTCATCTTTTCATTTTTGGCAAATTTATTTTTATCTACCAAGTTTTTTTCTCATTGGCTAAAATTTAATTTACATTGTCCAATTACATCCGAGGTTACCATTGTTGATACTTTGACATTTTGGTATGTACTCTTTTTTGGTGCACAAAATGCTGCTATTATAGATTTTTTGTCCAGACCATAAAATATTTTGATCAAATTTTTCTAATACTCCTGTACTCGAATGCTTTTGCAAAGTCGATGAATCATTACATAAAATCTATTATTCTCTACATTTTGAATCTCTCATCTATCGTTTTTTGGATGTCTGCGTATATTTTTTGTTAAATATTTCCTGTTAATACAACTGAATGCAAGGAAAAAGTTGCTGACCGTTACAACTCACGTCGGCTGAATAACTTTCTTATAGCATGAGGAGACATAGCCATTGATTACGCGCATTTGGTTGCTCCAACTTCATGTCTCAAGTGCCATTACAAAATTTTTAATTAGAAATTATTTACTTGTTTTTTAGGTGTTAATTTTTTTAATTTTTGTGTCTTTTTATCAATGTTAAAATCGCTTGATTAAAGACTGCGTTAAATTATGAAGTAAGTAAAATGCCCTGATGTAGCATTCTTAAAAATTTTCAATGCTGTAAGGCAGGAAGCACGTGTGCGGCTGAAAAAAATTCAAGAGTAAATTAATTATCAAGAATATTTTTATGCAGATTGTGGATGTTTGAGTTTCTAGACCAGTACTTGATCAGTTAAAAACGGATCGTTTTGTCCTAGCCTGTTTCGTGTTATCTTTTTACAGGTGGAGTCTGAAAGTACCTTGTGAATTTTTTCCATTAAATCATCGGGCAGTGGTGAATGGAAGGAAATAAAATTATTTCTAATTAATGCAGTGAAAGAATAAACACTATAAAATTTGTTTCCCAAATTTATCAAATGAAACTTAATTTATTGAAAAAATGTAAATTAGTAAACTGGCAATTATTTTTAGAAAAAAGGTTACAGTTGTTTATTAAAAATGTTAATAATCTGGTTACTTTTTATTTTCAGATATCATAGAATAACGTAGCAGAAAATTTCAAAAATTGTTAAAAAATAGTAGTTGCGCGCAAAAAGATGCAAAAAAGATAACATGTGTATGCATCAAAAAGCGATAATTCCCCCTTCTAAGTAAAAAAACGCCGGTAAAATCACGCGATAAAAAAATAAAATAACGAAACAAAATTGCGGGTCCATACGTACGGGGTAGGACCTGCCCTGCCCGGCCCTCGCATGTGTGCACGATAACAATCATGCACCACACGATTGCACGTGCACAGCCATCATGCAGCCCACAAATGCATGCAGAACAATTTTGAACTTGTCAGCTCAGCGGTCCTTTGAGCTTTCAACACGTGATTTTGAACGTTTATGCTCATCAGGATGGGCTCGTGAATGTCTTGGATGGCGGGGCGTTATGTTTTTATGCTCTATCTTCTCTTCGTGCCTACGTCTGTATGTATTTGTGCGTGCGTATGTTTCAGACATTTTCGTTTCAATTATGTTAATGCTTGTGCATTGATGAAGCGGTATCCATCTGAATGAGTTTGCGTCCACACGCCAGCAGGATGATTCAACGACATTTGTTTACGTCGCCGGCATTTTGAAACTTCCATTACATTTCATACCATTACAATGGTCAACGTTTCTCGCCGTTATTATGTTAAATTGTTTTTTTGTTCTCCTTTTTATTATTTTATTATTATTATTAATTATCTAATAATAAAATTTCAGTTGTATATGACTGCCCGTTGACTTCAACAGCAAAAGATTGCCTTGCTTCAAAAACAATAGTGCTTTTTTATTACTAATATAAGCTAACTGGCGTATTATTAATTTTGGTTATAATATTTTTTTAGATACCTATGAAAAAATTTTCCTGAATAATTCAACAAAATTATTTGCAGTTGTTTTCGTAATTCAATAGAAACTTGAGAATGTTATTGTAAATTTAAAGTTACTTGTTCTTGGTTGAGCAAATTATTCAAGTTGGGATTAAATTTTAAATCAAGTTTTTTTAACAACTGTTGCACTACATCATTTTGTAAATTAAAAACACATAACGAAAAATTATTTCTAGCCATATAGCGTCATGTTAAATGAACAAATGTATTGTACTGGACACTGAACGTACCTTATAATAGTTGCCCATGTTGTGGTAGAAGCTGTCTCCTCGCTGTTTGTCGTCATGCTCATCCAGTTGCACCAGCGAAAACTTCACTTCCTTCCTTCTATCAGACTCCGCTTGTTTGATGCTCATGCCCTTCTGCAACGACTCACTGTCGTACAGGTTTGGCACCAGTTTGAACTCCTTAGCACTTGAGAGGGTGTCGCAAGTGTGGTTTGCTGTCTTGCAGAGTACTTTTGAGTTTTTCTTGGAACATTTCTTTTTCAAGAGAACAACGGAAATAATGAAAAGAAGGAGTAATATAAATCCCACTCCCGTCGATATGATTGTCAACAAGTTTTCAGGATTGCGAGTCCATGCATCAAAGGCAGGAAGATAATTGGACGTGTTGTTTAGGATCAGTGGCAGGTTTATTATTGTTGGCTTGTAATTTTGACTGGAGTCTGTGATTTGTATCGTCAAATTGTGCTCCGTTAAACCATGTTTCAGTGGCGAAATGACAATTAACTGATTTTTATTATTGTCTACGGTAAACAAATTGTCTTCGTTGCCAGAAATAATTTTGAACTTGAAACGCTTTTTGGCCACCAAAAGTTTATTACTGACGTTGAACTGATAGATAACATCTCCTATTTGAACAGAGCCTTCGAAGACAATACTTTCGTTTGGTCTGATTTGATTCAACAGCTTAATGTTGGACGGCGACTCAATATTTACAACAACGGTAGCTAACGTCCTCAGTTCTGGATCAGCGTACGAGTTTGATGCCGTTACGTTGAAAACAAACTCTGATTGGTTGAAGATTGGATACTTCCAACTGATCTCACCTGTAAATATCTCTACATTAAAAACCTCTTCGTAGACATTGCTTGCCAGAGCGTAGTATATATTCTTGTTGTCGTTGACCAGATCTTCATCGGTAGCTTCCACTGTACCAATCTTTGAACTTTTATGAAGTTGTTCGCGGGTGACATAAAATTTATACTCCGATTGTGTGAATGTGGGCTTGTTGTCGTTAACATCTTCAACGTTGAGAATTAAAGTAGTCGATCCAGTGAGCTTGGGAGTACCAGAGTCAACAGCGTAGATCAAATATTTCTGCTGGGTCTCATCTTTCTCAAAATCAAATGTGCATTTTTGGTAGATGGATCCTTGCAGAATATCAATGCTCAAACAGTTGGCGTAAGAAGACGACAGAGATGAAATGGAATAAGTGAGTTGAGCGTTAGAATGTTCGTCAAAGTCTGTTGCATTGATTTGGGTGAGATGTTGGTGAGTTGGTCGAGAGTTCTCTTTAACGCTTATAGTGTAAATGTTCTGAGCGAACAATGGAACGTTGTCGTTAGCGTCAAGTATGTTTACTTCTAAAATTACTTCAGAAGTCAATACTGGATCGCCTTTATCTTCACAATATATTCCAACTTCATAATTTGAAATTTTTTCTCTATCAAATATTTCGGCGCTTAGTAGCGTGTACTCTTCTTCACTAACAGATTCAAGCTTGAAGTGACTCGACTGCGCTATACAGCCAGTTTGTTTATTATCTCCACTGTCTTTATCTGTAACGGAAATGAAAGAAATGAACGTCCCGACCGGCGAATTTTCGTTAATTGAAGCTTTCGCGTTTTTGTTGATATTGCTAATGGATATGTGAGGTGCGTTGTCGTTAAGATCGTTCACGACGATTGAAACTGCAACTTTTGAAGAGGTTGCAGACTTAGACAACACAGTTGCAAACACATAAAAGGTGTAGTAGGTTTCTGTTTCATAATCAAGGGAACCGTTAACAGTCAAGTAGCCGTAGGCTGGTTGTATTTGGAATGGTAATATCCGATAGTGAGGCGCATCGTTTTGTAAGTAGTAGAGAAGAGACGAATTGTCGGGCGCAACGGCACTGATCTGGTATACGCGAGTGTCGATCGGTGTATTTTCATCCACGTACAAGTGATAGGATGACTTCTCGAATTGAGGAACGACTTCGGATGACATCGTAATCTTGACCATCACGTGCAACAAATCCGACAAACTTGGTCTTCCTTTGTCGTAGGCCACGATTGTTCCCTTAACATGAGGTGCTCCTTTGTAATTTTCAGAAAGTTTTTGTTTCACGACCAATTTTATTTCCATCGAACCATCTTGATGTTTTAATGTTTTCAATTCGAACATATCTAAAAATAATTTGTCACTAGAATGCTCCAGAACGGCGTACCTGTCTACGCCAAATTTATCGCTGTCGGCATCAACGGCTGTCGGCACGTTGTAAGTGAAGCGATCGCGCGTGTCGTCTGAGACGTCGATATGGATTTCTCTCACATCAAATTTTGGCGCATTATCATTCACGTCATTGAGCGTGATGAAAGTTCTAAGCAGGTGGAGGATGTTGTCTTGTCTGACGTTGATGACGATGCTGAAAATGCATCGGGGCAGCGTGCCTCTCGGTTTGCAGAGCTCGTCTCGATCCAACTTTTCGTTGACGCTGAGTAGACCCGAGGTGTGGTTGATCTTGAAGTAATATTCATGCTTGGAGGGAGATGACGTGAAGTCGTATCTTAAATTTTTTAAATTGGATTTGCTGGCTGCTTGTTGGGAGATGTTGTAAAGGATGATGCTTCTGATGTCGGCAATCACGGACCCTGCTGGCTTCTCTTCGTCGATCTCGAAAAATAATTTCAATTCAAGTGATGATGCTGTTTGATGGAAAATAAAAAACGTCAGAACCGTCCAAATGAACATTGTTGCAAATTATAAATCACATCACAGTTTGTTCAAAACGACTTCGTTTTAATTTCTATAATTAATTAATTAAATTATTTATTTATTTATTTATCCACACGTGAATTTGATGAGTGCTGTTGGCTCCAGTAAGCTGAAAATTAAAAAATTTGTTGACAGTTATTCTGTTTAAAT